CCAGGGCATGCTGCTGGTGAAGGGGAGCCTGCTCCCTGCTGGTTCCACTGATGGCAGGACCCAGTACTGAGAGGCTGGCCAGGGGACCCACAGAGGTGGGGGATGGGCCCAGGTGGGTCAACTCAGTGACACCATCAGGACCTTCCCCTGGTCACATTCACCCGACTCTTGGGGAAGAGCCACTGCTGCAGATACAGCTCTGACATTTGGGGACAAAGCCAGCCAGTGGGGGCATGGACCCATTGGCGATCAGAAGGGATGAGATGAGGGCAAAGACAAGCTTTGTCCCCAGACACAACTAAGAAAAGTTTATCTCCCCCTGGAGCCTAAAAATTCAAAAGCCAACAGAGCAACCCAGGCAGCCCCGGGGACAGGAGCAGGGCCTTGACCTCACTGTGATTCTCAGACTTGGCGACACAGGACAGCCACACAGAAGCACGCCAACACACTTAAAGCTTTGCTCCAACTAAATCATTTAGTTTCCCTTAAAGAAATGACTGAAAAAACACAACTGGAAAAACAAGGCTAAAAACAGCATTCTGAGTGTTGCATAACAAAACCGACCCCTTACAAGACACAGTAATAATGCCCATCGATGGATCTACCTATGGCAGAGGTGTAAAATCCCATGCATACAGATTGAATAACTGCAAAAGAAAAACAAAAGCAAAAGAAAAAATTTCCAAACAAACGCTGCATATACATGATGTCCCTTTTGCATTGCACTTTAGAATGAGGAGGGTTCCGGTAGCCACCGGGGCCCCTCCTCAGTAAACCAAGGGCAAAACCCTGCAGACGATTTCATCACCCAAATGTGAGGGTTTAAGCAGTCTCTGATCTTTGCTCGCTGCCGGCGGTCGACGATTCCTCGAGGTCGTTTGTACCTGCGCAAGCAATCTCCACCTCCTGTTAGCGCTCGCAGCTGCCGTGGGTGTTAGAACGGATTCAAGCAAAGAATTCCTGTAAGATCTTTCTTATGTAAATAAATACCATAATTTTAGGATGGGTAGCCGCCTCTTGTCTACTGGGAGATCATTTTTCAAGCTTGGGCATAAGAAACCTTATACAATTTGCATAAACAGTTGAGAGTAAACGAGATTATTTGGAATAAATGCAAGTAACTTATTTTGATAGTGGCAGATTCAATCGCTACTGAAGACAGATATTTTGGGGGTAAAAAGACATGAGTCAGGATTTGCTGTACAAGATGCTGGAAGGCACAGAACGACCCCCGAAGTTCAGTTTTTGCATTTTCGTTTTCTTGTGATTCCCTTGTTCAACCAAGCACCAGAGGGGATTTCTAAGCACTCAAGCACTTAGGGTTTGAACTGCTCTATAAATCAGTAAAAACCTCAGTTAACTGGGGGATAAAAAGAAAAGGGAAGATTTCTGACAAAGTGCAGTTCTAAATATACGTTTAAATGAACAAACGAAACAAAAACAAAGAAAAAGTGATATAATGCTGTGTTTTGTTCCAATGCTGCAGCCTCAGTCCCAAAACGAAAGGAACGATGTTTGCCGAGCTGACTGGTCAAGCGGCCCATCTTCCCAGGAGGCCAAGGGTGTGCCCGGCCACCGTGGTAGCTGCCTGACGCAGGGCAGGTCAGCACCTCGCAGTGGAGGCAGCGGGCAGAACCTGGGGGCACAGGCGAGCCGAGGGCTGTCTTCTGTCTTCTCTCGGACAGCTCCCGCCTGGCCCCGGCCTTCCCGGTGCCCACAGGGTGGTGGTGGTGGTGGTGCTGGCGGCAACGCGGCGCTTTGGGGCGGGGGGGTATCGGTAAGGCGGGCAGTGTTTGGGCTCATCTCGCACGCGGCACTCTCCCTATTCTTCCTGGCAGCAGCAGGAAGACTTGGGTCCTTGTTGCTGAAAAAATAGACTCTGAAGAAAAACCCTTGCTGTCCTCATGCAGCCGCGGGCACAGATGAGCTGTGATGGCTTCCCAGGCGGGGCAGGTGGGGTGGCGGCCACACCCACTCCTTAGCGGGTTTTCAGATGGCGACACGTGTTGGGGCTTTTAAAAGTTAAGTCATTAAAAAACATGTTGATTTTTCTGAGTATCAAGTCTCCTTATCGGTTTTAAATAGCTTATAACAAAAGTGTAAATGTTAGAATGTTTTAGCAAGCAGAGGACCAGCCACACGCCGCCCAGCTGGCCTCGTCTTGGCTGCAGTTGGGGACATGGCTTGTTGACTTGAACTTGGCATGAGCTGTGATGGCTTCCCAGGTGGGGCAGGTGGGGTGGCGGCCACACCCACTCCTTAGCGGGTCTTCAGATGGCGACACGTGTTGTGAGCTGTGATGGCTTCCCAGGTGGGGCAGGTGGGGTGGCGGCCACACCCACTCCTTAGCGGGTCTTCAGATGGCGACACGTGTTGGGGCTTTTAAAAGTTAAGTCATTAAAAAACATGTTGATTTTTCTGAGTATCAAGTCTCCTTATTGGTTTTAAATAGCTTATAACAAAAGTGTAAATGTTAGAATGTTTTAGCAAGCAGAGGACCAGCCACAGGCCGCCAAGCTGGCCTCATCTCGGCTGGCGTTGGGGTGACTTGAACTTGGCCAGTAGAAAATTTTGCAGTGGATTCCAAAAGTCTGTGGTTACAAACACTCGCTTGGTAATAGGCACAGTGAGACGTTGTGCTGTGTGGGCTGCAGAGGCGCGGGCAGGCAGGGCGTGAGGGCTGTGCAGAGCTGTGCAGAGCCGTGCTGACTGCACACCATCCTCCCCTCTGCGCCATGTCATCAGCGCCGTGGCGGCAGACCCAGGCTCCGCTAGGGCTCCAGCTCTGCAGAGCCCTCACTGCCCGTGGCCTCGGGGTGGGGCCGGGGCCACAGCTGCTCCTGCAACTCCTTCACCACCTTCTCCAGGTGCTCTCGGGCCTCCCGCTCCCGCAGCAGGTCGGCCCGCAACTGCTCACGGTCAGCCTCTGCGTGCTGCAGCTTTACCTGCAGGTCCTCGATCTGGAAGGGATGCCGTGTGGTCAGCAGCGTCTGCACCCCAGCCACCCACTTGCCACTTCCCTTGCCCAGGCTTCGGACTCTCAGTGCTGGCTCCCTGCCCATCCCCCCAACCCTCCACAGGCAGGGCCTGGGAGAGTCCTATCATTAACCAGAGGCTGTGGCCCTGTCAGTGTGTGCTCATGTGGTACCCCTGGGAGGGGGAACTACAAAAAACCAAGTGGTGGCCATGGTGCACCCCTTTTCTCACCTCCTTGAGGCCTGAGTTTGACTTGGGAGCCTGCTGCTCCATACCAGGCCATAATACCCCCACTCCCTGGACCTGGGAGTTCCCCTCCACTCCCTAGGTCTGGCTCAGAACTTCTCTCCCAAACAAAGCAGCCAGAAGGAGCAGGCATGGTTAGAAGTCCTGAGTACTGGGGCCACACTGGTCATGACAGTGTGGAGCCTGGAGCCTCCACCCTTGGCCAGTGGTGGTCAGCTGAAACATCTAGACCCAGGCCTACTGGACACCCACCCCGTGTTCTTCCAGGCACACTACTTACTGTAACCCCATGGCAGCCTGTGCAGTGGCAGCCTAGCCCAGAGCACTCGGTCCCAGAGCCCCAGCAGTGCCCTGTCAGTCTCAGCAACCCCACCCTGGTTCTACATGGTGCATGCACCATAGGAAGGTCCTGACTGCATACCTGGGCCGAGTACTTGGCTCGCAGGCGGCCGGCCTCACAGCCCTTATCGCACACTCGGACCTGCCGTGCCTGCTCCAGCTCCCGTTTCAGACGCATCCGCGACTCATTGGCCTCTTTCATCTTCTTCTCGTTCTCAGCTCGGAGGCGCTCGATCTCTTTCCTCAGGTTGCGCTTGGCCTCTGTAGCTTCCCGCAGCTTCTCCTTCTTCGCTACACGCAGGAACTCCAGCTCCTAGGAGCAGGCAGGGATGCAGAGCAAGGCTCAGGGCCGTGGAGCAGCAGGGTCCAACACCCCTCTGGCTAGCAGCCCACCTGTAGTCACCCTGGCACCTCTGCCCCTTCCACTTCCCACAGGAGTCATTCATTTGGTAAGTCACCCACTCGCTCTCCTCCTCCCCTCTGGAGCCTACTGCACTTGAGGCTGCAGTAAGCCCCCAGGTCTCCTCCCAAATGCAAACACCACATCCTCTTGGGGGATAAAGGGTGGCTGGCCAGGTTCAACCATTAACACAGGGAGGGTGGCCTCAGTCATCTGAGGGCCCAGGGATGCCCCAAACTGTCAGATGGAAACATCCAACTGCTTCGGTGCCTCTGACAAGCCCTTCCCCCACTTGTTAAAATACCAATGTGACTCACACTCCACACTGCAAACACGCCTTATAAATATGCATGTGGGAAATCACACCTCCAACCAGAATCAAGGACAATAGTGGCTGGGGATGCTCTGGAGTGAGCGACTACAACACACACAGAGTAGAATGTTTGAGATCCCGCAGCTCTGAGGACTGACGGGGTTGTGTTGTGCTAAAGCCCACGTGTGTGAGGCTGCCCTCGGGGCGGCTAGACGCCAGCCGAGGGGTGCATT